AAAGGAATTGGACTCACTTTTGCCAACTTGCTGGTAACACTGCCTAGCCCTGTGCTGCTTGTGAGGAAGCATAAGAAAGAAGTACAGTCCCACCGGGCCATTGAAAGGAAACACGCAACATAGTTAGGAGGAATATACAAACACTCCAAGCTCAACATGCTAAACCAGCGGGTACCATCTAATAGGTACATTACAGGGTTTGAGATGGGCCATTACTGTGTGTAAGTAGTATAGAAGACTCTTAAAACCCACGGCTGAGCTCTACATCTATGAGTAGAATTTGAATCAACACAAATGACCACAAAGGGAAAGATAACTGGAACCTTTATTTCGAGAAATCCCAAAATGGAGAAATTAAGAAGCCAAGAAGCTGCTCAAAGAAGGAGATTTGCAGGATGTGTTCAGTAGACAACTAGGGTCCCACTGGGCAAAGTAGGGCCCTGTGATGAAGACACATTTGGTAATGGGCTTTGGCTGTTTTTCTCTGCTCAATCACAGCAGTAGTCAGGCTTTCCTACTTTTCAACACATCCAGGAGCTACTGTCTACACTGGCCACCGAAGACCAGCATGCTTCCCTGGAGCCAGAGCCCTGCAAACCCCATTCACTATTGACTGATGATGGGAGCGTATGGGGCAGGGGCAGGGAAAGGGCTTCAGTGTGTCATCCTCAGAGTTTTCCTCGCCTTATTAGTCTACTTCTGCTATGCCTTTCGTCAAGTGTCACCTTTACTTCTCCCAGTGCTCTATGTGGTTACAGACTGAACTGTTTCCTTTCTCTTCCAAAGTCTGTTTTGCTCTATGTGTCCTATTGAGAATGAACCTACCACCCGCCAGGCACACCCATTCACCTAAACCCTCGCATTTACACACCAGGATCAACTCTAAGAAGTGCTCTAATTTATGTCCAACACTCTCACCATTCCTTCTCTTAGTTATCAATTCGCCGAATAATGACAAGATAATCACCAGAGTCAGGCAGCTTCAGCCACTTAATAAATGAGTAAATTCGTGTTTCTGAACCGCAATTTACTCATCTATATAATGGAGCTAATAACATATGCCTCGTGGATTTGTAATTAATATTAGTCTCACCCTATTTATTATAACAGCCTCTTCTAATTAATTTGCTCTTCACAACTCAGCCAGAATAATCTTACTAACATACATATTTAATTGAGTCCCTTTTCTGCTTAGTATACTTCAGTGAATCTCTGCCCCCTACAAGATAAATTCTAACTCTTTGGTAGAGCATATAGGGAGTTTTCTTATTTCATCCTTGCCTGGCTTTCTAAGTTTACCCACCTTACTCTTCTTTTTTAATCCACAAACTTTCCTTCATGTTAACTTGAAAACACTGTGTTGAACTTTAGGAAAGATTAAGAAGAGCTTATTAGTTATTTTTATTAATATATGTTTGATATATCCTAGGTATAGGTTATGATTTTGCTGCCTGGTTTATAGACATCCTGATGACTTTGTTCAAAGTCAGCAGTGTTACCAACTACATGAAAAACTGATCTCTTAGACACGTTTTCCTGCCTCTGAAAAGCCATCTGCTTTAAATATATCTCGCTATGATCTGTGTATTAGACAGTGAAACTGTATTCAAGTGGCATTAATGGATTATTTTTATCCACTGGTATACATGATATAAAATCAATGCAATTTTCTTCATTATCACCCAAATTATTTTCTAAAAATAGTTCTAAGATCAAGATCTCTCATTGCTCTGCATCCATGGGGAGATCTATATTGATCATTTGTTAGCTGACAAGTCTGTCCACTTCACTTAGATTATGGGTCGTATTTTTTCTCTTGGGATTGATTATGTGGGTGCCATTGTGGGGCACCATCTGTTACCCCCATTCAGAAATATGGATTAAAGAATTGATTAGAAACACCACATCCTCTTTTGCCAATGTCCTCCGCATATTAACTTTCCATTTATTCCACCCTAAACTTATAAGCATCCACTCAGAAAAAATAAGACTGTAGAAATGAAATCTCAGTTGAATTAATCTTTGGCAGGTAATAAAATTTTTATCATGGGAAATATTCTCCATCTGCCCACATGTGCTAGAAGTAGGGGTTTAATGTAAACATTAATGTTTCATTTTACATACATAGCACTCACCACAATAAAAACATAGTAATAGATGAATTAACTTATTCTTACATCTTCAAAGTCTGAGTAAATTAAAAGCCTCTGCAGTTAGCTAATATAAATTGTGACTAAGCCTAAATAGGACCTGGATACCTTGAACCAGCTCTAGCTGTCATGGCTGGATCCATATCCAATTGATCATTGTTTACTATCCCTCCCCTGAGGATCTAGGACTGTGCCTTGCATACAGTAGGCACTGAATAAATTTTGAATGGATTTTTTTTATCAGTTTTATGCTCCATTAAAAAAAAATTAAGATCTCTGGGATCTTTTATGTATCTCTTCAGTAACTGGCTTTCCATGTACTAGAGTCTAATTAGTCCTCAGTTTGCCTAAATCAGTGCTTATGAAATTAACCAAGTGAACTAAATACATTCAATATTCAATCCACAGCCAAAAGCCCTTAACAATGCTTTTTACTGCCAGGCAATAACAGCATCCTCTTTAGTCTCCAGTGTCTCCTCATTTACACTTTCTGGTTCTGGCCTTAAAGCAGGGGCAGAATCACTTTTTAAAGAACTTTTTTTACCCATAAAGGATGCCTTCCTGGAACTGAAAGGACATTTTAGAGAACAGAAACATAGCACACAAAATTAATATTTGATTCTCACGTCTTTAGATAAAGAGGATCTCAGACTCATCAATATACAAGAGGCGAATTTTGTGTTTCCTTACCGAAGTGGTGCAAGAACTCTAAATTACCATAAATCCAATCTAACTAGTTGATGATATCAAGTTTCTTTAAAGTACTTTCTATTAGGAATGTTAAGAGTTACTTAATTTTCTTTCGTGGTATTAATCTAGTTATAAAAAGTTCACCAATGTCAATGCACTAGATTCCATGAGTAGAAAGTTCCAGCTTTAAGCTGCCTCCTCTTATTTAGGAAGCATTTTGAGAGTCCATTTATCTTACTCAAAGCTTGAAACTCACGACATCTGATTTTCTTCTACATATTGAAATTCACAATGTAATTAATAGCCTCACTAAATCTAAGGGGTGCTCTACCCATAGAGCTTTCTGCCTAAGTAACATATGGATGTGCTTATGGGCTTGTTTTTGCATCGTCCCACAAACTGGCTGGGAGAATGAGAAACTTCATTAAAAAGACATTTGTGGGGATGCTAGAGGGGATGGAAAATCCTCCACAGGCTCTATACCCAATTTCCAGCCAATACAGGATTACTCCCCACAGGAATCATTTATTGCTTTACTGGCCTAAGTGATGGGCCTGTTAGCATCTCCTTTGCCTGACTGCTTTGCAATCTAGTTGCTTTCAGATCTGAGAAAAGTCATCTTAGTATTTATACAGAAGTTCTGTCTCACTTCATTTCTCCCGACATTGATCTTACAATGTCTGGTGGGCAAAGCTTATCCTCTGCTCATTGAAAACTGCAAATGTGTCTGAGTCACACAAGCAAGGTGTTTGGGGAAAGGGTTAGGCTTGTCCAAATTTTAGCCAACCCACCAAAATTTACATAATTGGTTCTTATTTCAGTTGCTTCTCTCACCACTCCCTAACCCCACCACCTCCACACACATAGGGGCCTCCACTTCTTTATAGACCCACAGTCATTGGACAGCAGATTTTAAATGTACCAGGTTATGCTGAAAACAGAATATGAAGTGATTGCATTAATTTATGCATTGCTTGTTGGAAGCTTGCCATCCTAACTTCAGCGCTCACTTGATATCAAAAGAATGTTTAAAATTGTGAATGTACAGTCTGTTAACAAAATTCAAGTCAGCCCTTCACAACTATTTTGTAAATAAAATGAGATCTTGGGAAAGCTTTGGTAAGAAGAGTGTTGGGTCTGTGAAAGAAGGTCTCAAGAGTTAGGACTTGCAGAAAGCTAAAATCTATGCCTGTGAGGAAACAACCATTACTGTAGCTGACTCCCCAGTTGACTTCCTCAGCATCCCCTGATTAAAACCACTTTCAGAAATAACTCCCTGAAGCAAATAAAACAGAGAATTAATTCTATCCTTGGATGTGTTTGCATATAAATTCAACTCCCAAATGTCTTTCCATAAATGATTGTACCTAATAGAAATCTAGAACACAAAATCTAATCAAATAATTATAGTTCTACAGATGTACGAAAAGATGAAGGTATTAGAATAATTATATCTGGTTAAGTTCTGGCTCAATTCTGTTAAAGACTAATTTTTCGATTGTTGAACACCCAATGGGAGGCGCTGTTTCCAATAATGCAATGCTTCTTCCTGGCATGTTTGTCAGAAATATTCAGACCATGTGGGTTGCTTTTCTCCATTTATAATAGCTCCTTTCCAGGCACCTAGTTTACATTAGCACAAAGACTACCGAAATGCAGATACAAGATTAAATGTGTTGTCCCTTGTAAAGTAATAATGATAGCTTGCCCAAATCATGTCATGGGCAACGGTGTAGGCAGAACCTGCTGCAGCAAACAGAGCTTGGCTTTGCCTCTCTGGAGCCATGAGCAGCGAGCACCCTTTCTGTCCCAAGCTGTTCAGGGATGCGACATGTCGACTAGCACTGCTGTTATACCTTTAGTGACTTTTTAACAAGAATATTGGGGGAGGGGGTAGCTTTTTAAACAGGAATTGAATTTAGCTTGTTTAATAGTCCATTTTCATGAGCTGGTTTGTTTTTTTTCTAACACAGAAAATAACATTCTCACAAGGTATTTTGGTATTGACAACCTCGGGCTTTCTTAGAGGTGGCCAAAATAATCATGTTTCATTGTTGGTGTACTTTGAAATATTTATTATTTCTGTCTGTATGCTTTGTTTTCTTTGTGCTTTCATGTTGTATAGCCACTAACATTCTGATATGCTTTCCCAATACATAGGTCGCCATGGAGATGGAGGATATTGGCCAGTTGATACCAATTTGATTGATAGAAGTACTCTCAATGGTAAGTATATAAATTAGTTTATATTGGATTGGTTATATTAATTAAATGTTTAATTCTAAAGCTCTGCAGCACATTTTCTATTGACTGCAAGTTCCAAAATTCCCAGACTTGGGGATTTAGTGGGAATAATAGAAACATGAAGTTATTAACAAACCTGTAATATTCGATC